AAATATTTCATGACCCACTGCACAATTTTTAATAATTTTCAGAAAGTAATAATCGGATGCACATATTTGGAGTCTGTCCAATTCAGACTGGCCAACAAATCTAATCAATATTACCCAACACAAAAAAAATGGCTATAACTCAGCCAGTTATATAGATGTTGAGCTAAATATTGATGTGGTAGTATCTGAGAGTCAACACATACTCCGAGTGCTACATTGCACAAGGTTTGGCTAAAACAACAAGCTAAACAAAACCAGCTACAACTTCATTATTTCTCAACAAAACTGACCGTAGTCTAAGATTATTGCATTAAAAGTTGTGGGTAATATGCATTCTGTCACAAAATGCTATGCCTGTGTTTATATTGTGAAAAATGTTGAGCTTGTTGTTGCTGGAAAAGATCTAGCTTTAAAGGAATTAACAAGTTGTCAGGAGCAACTGCACAATATTAAACAAAGCATGCATCTGTGATTGTATTAAATACCACTACTATTATATCAGTTGCAATAAAGCCACATTTTCGTGGCTTATTGCATTTTTCCCAGCATCGTGGTCCTCGCAACACTCCTCGCGTTCGTTCGCATTTCAGTCGCCATGATTTGAAATTATTAAAATAAATAATATAATAAATATAATACAGTTGATATTTTAGTTAGGTATTAGAGATATTGCTCTGAGGTGGTTCAAATCTTATCATCTTTCTGTAATTTCTGGCAATAATTCCTCCAGTTCAGCTTCTCTCACCTGCGGTGTCTCCCAAGGGTATATTCTTGGGCCACTATTATTTTCCATTTACCACTTGGTCAGGTTATTCATAAATTCAATGTCTCTTTTCATTTATATGCAGATAATTCCCAGATTTATTTGGCTATCAAACCATCAGACTTCTCTACTCTCAATAAACTGACCCTCTGTCTTGCAGACATCAAAACCTGGATGTCTGATAATTTCACTCAATAATGGTAAAACCGAGGTGATGTGTTTGGACCCAAGGCCAAAAGGGGATTTAGTAGTTCAGTCCCTTTCTGCTCTTGGTTTTAACTGCACTCATGAAGCCAGAAATTTGGGGGTGACCTTATTATGATCTTAGTTTTTCTAAACATTTTAAGATCACTAAAACAGCATTTTTTTTTTTTTTTTTATTAGGAATATTGTCAAAATCAGAGCATTCATCTCTTTAACCGATGCAGAAACTCTTATTCATGACTTTGTCGCTTGTCATCTTGATTATTGTAATTCTTTATTTTCTGGTCTGTCCCAAAGTTCTCTTAATTGTCTTCAACTAATACAAAATACTGCAGCTAGAGTTCTCACAATATCCCATAAATATCAGCACATCACTTCTGTTCTGTCCTCATTGCATCGTCTCCCTGTTGTTTTTAGAATTGACTTCAAAATTGTATTATTTGTTTTTAAATTCCTGAATGGTCTTTCACCATCATATCTATCTGAGCTTCTTACTCCCTATATCCCTTCTTGCAGTCTCAGATCCTTAAATCTCTTATTACTTTCCACTCCCAGAGCTCGACTGGTGACAGAAGGAGGGAGGGCTTTTATGGTCAGGGCTCCTAATTTGTGGAATGCTCTTCCTCTAAATATTAGACAAGCCTCTTCATTGTCTTCTTTTAAATTATTAGTTAAAACTTATTTGTTTAATGAGGCTTTTAATATCTTAATTTCTTCATATTTTTATTTTCAATTTGTCTTATATTATGCATTTTAATTAATTTGGTATACTTTTTGTGTTTCTGGGGTCAATTTTTATGTTATTTTAATTGAATAATGTGAATCACTTTGTAACATTTGTTTAAAAAAGTGCTATACAAATAAAGTATTATTATTATTATTATTATTATTATTATTATTATTATTATTATTA